GCCTGGGGGGGTCCCATATTCCTTAGAGGGTTTCCTGGGGTGCCTCCTCTTCCCTTTGGGGGGTCCCCTCTTCCCTTTGAGAGTCCCAGGGGTGTCCTCTTCTCCCTTTTGGGACATTCTGAAGGCCAAGGGAATCCCCAAACAGTGGGAATTACTACCCTTTTCCCTGTTGCCATCCACCGAGACACTCCCACCCAGGGGTCACTCCTGCCCAGAGGACACTCCAGGGGACACTCCAGGGGACACTCCTGCCCTGGTAACACTCGTGTCTCCCGCAGGGCCGGCGCTACACGGGTGACGTGGCCAAGCTGTACAGCATCAATGTCACCAACGTGCTGGGGGGGGTGGCCTCCTTCTGCCGCCGCTGTGCCCCCCAGCCCACGGGCCCCTGTGCCCCCTGCCCCCCCGGCAGTGCCCTGGACCCCACGGGGACCTGCCAGCCCTGCCCCCCTGGCACTGTCCTGCGGGGACCCCCCTCGGGAGGGACCCCCTTGTGCCACCCCTGCGGGCCCGGCACTCGCAGCAACCAGGTGGGTATCCCCAGTGGTTCCCCAGGGGCAGCACTGGGCAGTTCCAGGAGAGTGACACTGTCATGGGTGGGTGGCACCAGGTCCCCCAGCTGTCCTGGGCAGGTGACACTGCCTGGGTGGTGATGTCAGCCCCCCTCAGCTGTTCCCAGGGAGGTGAAAGTGTCTGACCCTGGGTGGGTGACACCAGCCCCTCCCGGCCATCCTGGGTGGGTGACAGGGTGGGTGACACTAGCTCCCTTGGCCATCCTAGGTGGGTGATGCCTGGATGGGTGATGCCAATCCCCAACTGTCCCCAGGGAGGTGACACCAGCCCTCCAGCCATCCCAGGGAGGTGACAGGGTGGGTGACATCAGCTCCCCTGGACATCCCAGGGGGGTGACAGGGTGAGTGTGAGGTGGGTGACCCTGAGTGGGTGACATTTTATGACCCCAGTGGGTGACACCACATGTCCCCTGTCCCTGAGGGGCAGTGCCAGCTCCCTGTGGTGCCCACAGGGGTGTCCCCGGTGGGTGCCACATCCACCCCTGAGCCCCCTCTCCTTGTCCCTATCCCTCTGTCCCTGACCACTATCCCTGTCTTTGACCCCTTGTCCCTATGTCCCTGTGCTCCTTTCCCTGTCCCCATCCCGGTCCCTGACTGTGTCCTTGTCCCCAGCTGCGCTCCTTGTGCTACAACAACTGCAGCCTGTCCCTGTCCCTGCCCGGCCGGACGCTGCTCTACGAGTTCCCTGCACTGGGTATGGGGCTGGAGGTGGGCACCGGGCCCAGCTTCACCCCCAAAGGGCTGCGCTACAGCCACCGCTTCCAGCTCAACCCCTGCGGCCACCAGGTGGGGCACGGCCGGGACACAGCTGGGCATGCGGGACGGGGGGCACAGAGAGAGAGGGGCACGGGAACACACGTGTGCACACATGGGAACACAGAGAGAGAGGCACAGGAACAGATGTGTGCACACATGGGAACACAGAGAGGGGCACGGGAACAGATGTGTGCACACATGGGAACACAGAGAGAGAGGCACAGGAACAGATGTGTGCACACATGGCAACACGCCTGAGCACATGGGAGGGTGGCCACCGGCCCATGGGTACACACATGGGAACACCGAGAGGAGGGCACAGGAACACACATGTTCACACATGGGAACATGCCTGGGCATGCGGGAGGGTGGCCACAGGCACACGGGCACACACATGGGAACACACTCTGCTGCGTGTGCCCCCTCTGTGCCCCGTGTGTACCAGGTGTGTACTGCGCATGTGCCCCATGTGTGCCAGGCATGCCCTGCATGTGCCAGGCGTGTGCCAGGCGTGTGCCAGGCATGCCACGTGTGCCAGGCGTGTGCCAGGCGTGCTGTGTGTCCCCAGGGCAGGAAGAAGGCCTCGTGTGCCGACTCGGTGCCGCAGGGCCGGGGGGGGGCCCCCGCCCGCCGGGTGACATCCTACGTGTGCCAGGCCATCGTTGTGCCCCCCGACAGCGCCGGGGCCCGCGGGGCCGTGTCCTCCCAGCCCGTGAGCCTGGGGGACACCCTGCTGGGTGAGGGATACTGGGAATGGGATACCAGGAACAGCATACTGGGAGTGGGATACCCTGCTGGCTGTGGGACCGGGAATGGGACACTGGGAATGTGATACTGGGAAGGGGAATGAGACACCCTGCTGGGTGAGGGACTGGGATACTGGGAATGGGCCACCTTGGGGGACACCCTGCTGGGTGAGAGATACTGGGAATGGGACACCCTGGTGGCACTGGGACACCCTGGTGGGACAAGGACACCTCGGCAATGCTGGGACACCCTTGTGTGACTGGGGACACCCTGGTGTGATTGGAGACAACCCTGGGACTTGTTGGTGGCCCGGGGACACCACGGGGATGGCCCCATGTCCCCCAGGTGTCACCACCAGCGCGGTGCTGGATGGCGTCGTGTCCCCCCCGGAGCTGTTCCCAGGCAGCCATTCCGACCTGCCCGACGTCATCTTCTTCTTCAGGTGGGGGCAGGGATGGGGGGGACACCCCACCGTGTCCCCAGTGTCCCCCTGACACCCCGTGTCCCCTGGCAGGTCCAATGATGTCACACAGCCCTGCACCAGTGGCAGGGCCACCACCCTCCGTCTGCGCTGTGACCCCCTGAGCCCCCCCAGTGGCACCCTGGTTGTCCCCAGGGGGGGGGGGACACTGGGGACCCTGGGGGGGGCTTTGAGGACCCCCAAGGTGACCCCACCATCTCCTGCTGGGGTGGGCTGGTCCCTAGGGTGCTTCACTTTGGGGACACAGGTGTCGTGATGTCCCCAACCTTGGGGCGTCACCCCGGATGTCCCCAGGTGTGGGGGGGGACACCGGGGATGCCAAGGGGGTTTGGGGACCCCCAGGATGACCCCCCCACATCACCTATAGAGAGGGACACATCCCTGGGGTGCTTCACTTTCGGGACACCCCTGTCACGGTGTCTTGAGCGTGGGGTGTCACTATGGCTGTGTCACTGGCACCCTGACTGTCCCCAGGTGG